GTCAAACTCAGCCATTACTTCAAGGTCTAGCAAATTCCTCACTTGCCTTGAAGACAATTTAATCTGATCCTAAACAACAGGGATAACCTGGTAAAAGGGGTGCAAGTGGTGGGATCCTTAGGTGGGAGTGATCATGTTTTCCTGGAGTTTCTTATACAGTGGAAAGGATAAGCTAGGCATAGTCAGATAGTCATTCTAGACTTTGGGAGAGCTGATTTCAATAAATTAGGGAAACACTGGGAGTGATTCCATGGTCAGGAATACTAAAGGAGAAGGTAGTTCAGGATGGATGGGAGTTTTTCAAAAGGGAGATACTGAAGGCACAATCTCAAACTGTTCCAATGAAAAAGAAAAATGGGAGGTGTCTCAAGAAACTGGGTTGGGTGACAAAAGAACTTTCAACTAAACTAAGTTTTAAATGGGAGATGTATAAGAAATGGAAAAGGGGCAAAATCACCAAAGAGGAATTCAAACAAATAGCTAGCACATTTAGGAGTAAAGTCAGGAAAGTCACAGCACAGAATGAAGTCAGGCTTGCTAGAGGGTTAGAGGGTTAGAACAATAAAAAAAGGACTTTTTGGGGTATGTCTGTAGCAAAACAAAAAAGAAGGAAATGGCACGGACACTGCACAGAGAAGATGGAGAAATTCTAACAGGGGGCAGAGAAAAGGCAAAACTACTCAACACCTTCTTTGCCTCAGACTTCTCACAAAAGGAAAAGGGTGCTCAACCTGAGGAAAATGGAGCAGAGGACACAATAGGAGAAATGCAGCACAGAATAAGTAAAGAGGTAGTACAGGAATACCTGGTTAACCTAAGTGAATTTAAGGGGCTTTGCAGATGGGCAGCCGTGGGCCACCCTGAGAAGTGGAGGATTGGGGCCAAGGCTGCCTCACACCTTGGTCCCAATCCACCCTCCTGCCGGCCCTGGAAGGAGCGCTAAAATAGTGCTCCTTCCAGAGCAGGCAGAAGGGGCGCCTGAAGAGACACCACGTGTCTCTTCTGCATCTCTTCTGGCCCAGCGTGTCTGGACGCTGCGCCAGAAGGACGTCATCAGAGTGCTCGCCATGTGCAATGGTGGGTGCTCTGATGACGTCCTCAGGAAGGGGTTGGGGTGTCCAGCGTCCGGCTGCCCCTCCCCTTCCCTGGCTCCAAGACGATGTTTTTCACCATCTGCAGAGCCCCTAAGTCTCCATGACCAGATGAACTACATCCAAGGATATCAAAAGAACTGGCAAATATAATCTCGCAGCCACTGGCAATAATCTTTGAGAACTCTTGGAGAACAGGAGAAGTCCCAGAAGACTGGAGGAGGGCAAAAATTGTCCCCATTTTCAAAAAGGGGAAAAAAGAGGATTCCAACAACTATCACCAAGTTAGTCTGACATCAATACTGGGAAAGATTTTAGAACAGTTCATTAAACAGAGAGTGTGTGAACATTTAGAAGGGAATTCCATAATCACTAAAAGTCAACATGGGTTTCTCAAAAACAAGTCATGCCAGATTAATCTGATCTCTTTTTTGGATAAAATTATCAGCTTGCTAGATGAAGGGAATGTGGTAGACATAGCATATCTTGATTTCAGTAAGCCTTTTGACAAAGTCCCCCATGATATTCTTGCAAACAAGATAGTGAAATGTGGGCTAGACAATACAACTGTTAGGTGGATTAGTAATTGGTTGACTGACTGAATCCAAAGGATGCTCAGCAATGGCTCCTCTTCATCCTGGAGAGAAGTGACAAGTGGGATGCCACAGGGGTCTGTTCTGGGCCCAGTGCTATTCATTTATCAATGATGAAAGAATAGGGGGCATGCTTCTCAAATTTGCAGATGACACCAAATTAGGAAGAATAGCTAATACCCCAGAGGACAGGATGAAAATTCAAAAATGACCTTACTAGATTAGAAAGCTGGGCCAAAACTAACAAAATGAATTTCAACACGGAGAAATTTAAGGTACTGCACTTGGGGCAAAAAATTGAAATGCATAGATATAAGATGGGGAACATCTGGCTTAATGAGATTACATGTGAAAGGGATCTAGGAGTTCTAGTAGACCACAAGTTGAACATGAGTCAACAGTGTGATGCAGCAGCAAAAAAAAAGCCAACACAATTTTAGACTGCATCAATAGAAGTATAGTATCTAGATCAAGGGAA